GTACACCGTTCAGAGCACATTCTATCAACTGGGATAGCACGCGTCAACAAATCATCATTATCATCATCGTACAGCGAGATACAGTGAAGCAAGCTTCACTGATCGCTGCCAAGTTGTGGTGAATTGTGCATGTTGATAAGTTCTCGAGCCGTATTCCATTACGAGATAGACAGTGGAGCCAAAAAACACTTTGGTACAACTATGAAAAGGATCGTGTCCATGACAGGATGAGTGATGTGTGTGGGAGGGCAGGGTAGAATTAGGAGGATACATCCTTTCGGCCACCTCTTGACACGTACAACGGCCAACGATAACGAAGGCTTTCCTAAAACATTCCTGATATTATTTAAAATCCTCAGAACGAATAAGCTGATTGAGGTCGACGATACGTGTGGTATAGTCATCATGTCTAACTGTCCTAATATTCTCTGCTTTCAGTGTGCAAGATTCAACCTAGACTTCAAAAGAACTGAATTACTACCAAACGAAACATAGTATCAATCATTTGTCTGGATAACTGAAGGGACGTCTCCTGAAGAATCAAATACATTTTTTAAGCAGAGCACCATTACAAACAAACTGTATTTAACACTTACTAGTGTACTTCATATTGCTTTTATATCAATTTCGCTTGGAACTTTCACACTGCTTTTGCATTTTTTTACATTAAAAGCGACCAAGCACATATGACTGATTGTATTTTGTCATCATGCATACCAAACATATCAGATCTCCCTGAGAAATTGTATATTTCACGATTGACTTTGGAATTGTATTTATATGCTCTACAAGCGCACTTGATACCAAATACCTCCCGAGTTCATGTAGCAAATTATTAGTACAAGTTCATACAGAAATTCCAAGCCCATGGCACTGCGGTATTAATTACCAAGTAGAGACTGAACAGTGTCAGAAGGAACTTTTGAAAAAACACTCTTCTCATAGGTGGCATTATACACATCTTTGCATGTAAATCTTCTCCATGTTTCCATTTTGACTTTGAATCTGCAGCACTCTAATGATGACCCAACATGCGGCATTTCAGTGCATACCAGAATCCATAAGATCGAATCTAACATTCCTCTAGTATGTTTGATGCCAATCAAGATTTGCCCTTCGCTATGATCGCGATAAAAAAATTGATGATCTACTTCAACGTGCACATTTAAGTTGCCTTAGTTGTTTTGGTAATGCAGGTCAGGTGACCGGAGAAATATTTGATCGTTTGCTCAGTGAGTGCAATTCCATACTATGACTCTCTGTGTTATTGGAAAGAATAAATGACATCTGATCCTTATATTGTTGTTCAAGTGATGTCACACAAAATTGCTTCTTACTCACCTTTTCACTACCTGCAGTTTGAGCCTGAAGCTTGGTGCGCACCAGGGCCAAAGGATAGGTGGCCAATTGTCCACATACTGACGACAACGCTCCAGCAGTGACCGATACGTAAACAGGAGGGGTACAACCTTCTTTTCCGGAATTGGTGAATTTCACGTACGACTGTTTGAAGGTTTCAAATAGTGCCAATTCGATTCCGGCATATGGTAGGATCCCGAGCATATTTGGCACATAACCTCGATAGAAAATACGCCAGCCATTGTCGTGGTATAGTTTCTTTGCACAATCAAATATGGAAGAATACTGGCCGCTTTTACGCAGACACATACGTGTTTTAAGAACCTGAACGGAAGGAGAAATATCAGACGATTAAAACGGATATAGTACCCAGAAGAGCTAAAAGTCACCAGAAATACCAAGTAATTGGAGGTGATACTATCCCATCATCCCACGACCGTACGTCACGATTTTGTCCTACCGTGCGTGCTCTATCAGCAACATCGGACGAAGGCTAGTCTGCAACGCCACCGGATGCCATAGATGGGTCACCCACATTGTTGCTCGTCCTTTCTACATGTTCGCACCCGTCGACTGATCATGGGATTACCTACACACACACAAAGACACTCTGACAATGCCCGCCAGACATCAGACCAAAGACAAGAACGAAACGCAGTGGCACCCTGGTCACCCTAACGCATCCACGCACTCATGAACCAAAACAACGCTGCTCATCCTCGTGGCATTGCGTCCCATGGGATTGGCGTGACAACCAATGCGAAGCCAAACGACACGTTTCATAGTTTTTCGAATTCACTTGATAGTATTTTGATTGTTTATGATGGTTTCTCAAATCAATCTTGAAATGGTATGGAGATTAACATGACACACTATTTAAGCATCGGACTACTACATCAGAAATCTGTGGATTACATTACTTTTGTTATACAAGTGGAGTCTAAAAATCCGTGTAAGTACTTTCTTTGTTGATTTATTTTATCAGATAATCACCTGTTTACGTCTAATACATGTTAGTTAGTTATTTGTTATAGAAACGGTCTGATATTCGTATATTCGGATGCCGTAAGGTGGTGGCTGTGGTGGAGCAGGTGGAGGAGGAGGAGAAGACAGGACTCGAAAGAGCCCGGAGTATAGCAGTGAAAGTGAATGAAATCATTGGTTGCTATCACGTATGAAATATCTTTTAGGAAGTGATGTATGATACAGATACAAAGCTGTTTCATCGTTTATCGAAATTATTGGAATTACATATCGACCGAGCTCTAGATTTTCTATTATTCTTCAGAGAAAACCAGAAACGCGTACCTCCATTGGGTAGATAATTGTCTGTGATGTTGCTCCAGCAAAAGCACCAGCAAAGAATTTTGTCTGTAATGAGACCGGACCGTTCTTTTCATCGCCAAATACTGGTCCCAGCCACTGTTTGTACTGTTCATATGCTTGAAATTTGATTGCAGATTCGGGGGCAATTTTTAAGCAGTTTACGCCATTCCCGCGCCACAGTGACCCAACACCACCTTCTTTCAACATCTTGTTCACCGTCCCTACAAGTCCCATCTCGGCAGCCTTACTGCCCAATGCTTGCCAGGTCAATTTGATTCGGTCCAACGGTGCTGTGGTTGTCCGTGAAATACATCCGGCGATGCCTACGATGAGAAATTAGTAGGGACCAATTCAGGAGTGCATGTGCAAACAGTTTTTTCTTACATGACCAAAGCAAAAACCAGCAAATGAATCGAGTACGATGTGAGACTCAAAGTCTTCTTCAGTTCGAAATCATCGAGTTCATTGGTCAATAAATGAAACCTATGACTTCATGCGGATGAGCAATGTATCGATCACGTCTGAAGGAGAAACTTATTGCTGAATAAAAGCAGTTTTATTCGATATTTAAGGGCCGATTTCAGAGTATTTCTGTAAACAAAGATTAAATTAGCAGATGAGGTGTGAAATATTGTGTACAGTCTACTGACAGCATGATGGACATTTTGGTATGACAGACTGTAAAGCAGTAGTAGTAGGTATTCTTAAAAATAATTTTGACAAGCTTTTTATTTTTTAGTAAATAATATTATTCTGGTCCACAAACCAGATCCATGAATCGTTTCTATGGGCCACAGTATCATCGGGAAATTTGAATCATTTTATTGGCAGTAACCGACAGAATTTTAAATGCCGGTCGATTTACACACGAAATGCAGTAATATTGCAAAACAACTGGTATGTAGTTAGCTCGACGAAGAGAAACTAAATCCCCCCGGGTAGAAGAAATATCTAATGCTCAGGAGTAAGGGTTTGAAGTCCCGACCCGACTGATCGCGGTTCGAGTCCTGGCAGGGACACAAAAGTACGCACTGCTGACGAGTCCCAAACAGGACGAGACAGCTGTCCATTGCTCTTTGTTGGTTATCACAAACATTTCCATAGTATCTACTGCCATGTTCAAAATTTGCTACTGCACACCCTTAACGAACTAGCCTTTTTAGTGTAACCCGCATTTCGGATCCTCTTAGTAAGGTCGTTTTGTCCACTTCCTTTCCTCACTATCTCCATTGGTCCAGTCATGTATCCTTTAAAGAAGTAATTTTGAAAAAGCATTTGTATCTAATAGAGGTTGACTAACAAGCTCGTTTTCAGTAAACCATAATCATGCCAATAAATCACAATAGGTATATACATAATTACTTTTGAGGAACGGAAAATTAGCATAGATTATTTGGGACTAATTTCGTCTTCGCACTGATTATGGGATTCTCAATGATGACATGATTGTTGGATCGTCCAATCTACGAGAGCACTCGAGATATGGAGGAGGACGGGGGACGTGAGATGAGCCAAGAGAGCTAAAACACCGGCACAAAATGTTTTGGTTCATACTGATGGAGCTATACAGACTTATTCTAACCGCTTTCGCTGTGAGAGAAGTGTCTCAGTTTTCCCACCGAATTTAAAATGTGCGTGGACTGATGGATATTACAATTCATGGTGACGCCTAAGTACTTGACAGAGGACACCCTAGACACCAGGTTACAAGGTAGCAGAGTCTGTTGGAAAGGCATAACGGGGCAAACTGAAGATGCACTCTAGGCACTTGGATGTGTGTCACGATAAACTCCTGTTCACTCAAGAGAATGAGAAACCCAAGCCCTAGGACCACATAAGACCGCAATAGGTAGTAGTACATGTACATATATACATAAATATGCATATTATATTCACATAATCCATCACCTGATTTTAGACGCTCTGCACACGATTGTATGATTTACAGTCCAGTGGTACGCATTGCGGCCACATCGCGCTAGCGTATGTACATCAACGGGCACATAATCGCATGCTGCATGCCACATCTCCCAAGATGGTGGAAACATAACCCAAAGTGATGCCACCCACTGAGCATTTGTTTCTAGTCAATCAGAAAAATATGTAAGCAGAAAAATAACCCGAGAGCGGCAAAAAACGACATGAGTAGTCTATTTTGATTCGATAGTTAGTTGTTGCACTCACTAGACTGAGCGACATCAATTAATGATGGCCAATAAAGCATTAAGTGATGCACTATCATTCCGCCCAACTCTTTAACCTTCTCAGGACGAACAAAGTTTTATTCAAACAGTATGTCTCACAACCGCTAAGCCAATCGATATCAGGTTTACCTTCTGCGCCTGAGTACCGGCTCGTTCAAACACGATCACGGGGAAGCCTGCCG